ATTGTATAAATATGATATATAATATCAACATGGTTTATATTAACACATATCACATATGATATGAACATGAACTATATGAATATGAACAGCTCATTCTAAGGTCAGGTGACAGTATTGAAAACATTACGTCTTATATTCCATTTCTGCTTATTGATCCTCCTAAATGTTACACACTGGACCTTTTAAATATTGCACATTTTTCTTGCACATTATTGGTATTATTAATCATTATTTTGGCCCTTTCAAGACCAGGCCAGTTGCAGGTTCAATCCCTTCCAGAATTGGCCCTAAACCCTTATGAAGGAGCCTAACCATTAGGGACCTGCAGGCATATTAATGTATATTGTATGTATGTATTCATGACTAAAGCCCTCCTGGGAGGAGGATAAACTGTATACAGTAAGTGACACAAAAGCCATTCTCTCAATCTGTGGATCCAACAACATGTATCATTATAATGAACCCGCTGATTATTAAATTTTTAGCTTATTAAATGTCAGTTAGTGCACAATGCCCATCATAAGATATTTCAGTTAATTTAATAATTTAAGGCTAAGTAGACAATCCTCATATTTGAGAAACTGGAAACATTCAGCAATGTTTTTCTTGTTAAATGACTTAAATTATTACGTGATAATCCAAAGGGTTGGTTATTAGTTTTCTGACGATTGATTAATGGATTTAATTATGGTTTCTGAACTTCTTTACTTAGATTTTCATAAAGTCTGTTTAGCTTCGATGTTGGGTAGAAGAACAACTTCCTGACACAGGCCATCTGTTAAAGCAAAACCTTCAGTGTTTTCATCCAAGTAATAGAACCACATTTAGAGTTTCTCCATCAAACACAACATAAACCTGTACCAACAGTAGAAACATATTTTCAGTCTTGCACTGGAGGTGACCAGGCTCACATGGGAACTCTTGACATTCGTTCTGGAAACAGGTTTGACCTCTTATGACCCGGAAGCTGACGCCAGACCCGAGCTGTTCCATCGGCGGAGTAAAGATGGCTGACCAAGGCGCCGCAGATCCTGGTAATAACAACAATAATAAACCTGAAGCATCGGAGGGAACTATTATTAAGGTCACAGTAAAAACCCCTAAAGACAAAGAAGAGATCGCCATCGCAGAAGATGCCTCTGTCACTCAGGTTTGTTTGATTTCTCAGGTGGGGTGGGGGGGGGCTGCTCTCACGTCATGCCCCTGCCCACAACTTCAGCTAGGAAGCTAAGTTAGCCGCGTTAGCATTAGCCTAGCATCGTCACTCTTACCGGCTAACCGCCAGTGTGTGCAGTTAAAGAGGTTGTGCGTGGCGAGAGTATTACAGCTCGGGCCAGCTACAGTTTGGTGTTATCGACGTTGTCTGCACCCGACGGAGAGATATTGACCACGGGAACGTTTGAAACGGCTAACCGGCTAGCCAGCTAGCGGTAAGAGTTAGCCGGTGAGCTAAGAGCTGAGCCGACGTTGAGCTAAGTATGTAGCCAAACAAGTGTCAGCTGACGGGTTGCGCTCTCTCGCTGTGCCCGTTGCAACAATGGCCTGATACAACCGTGGAAGTGGCTTTAGGGGGGGGGGGGGTGATATACCGAATCGCTTTCATTTCCCATTTCAGCTCAATAGCATTCAAAATGCTAAAGGCTGCTATCCCTCTAGAACATTCTCACTGCTGCCACTGAGTCATTCAGCTTTCAGGGGAATATACACAGCGACTAACTCAACAACTGTTGGCCTGGCGACGTGTTACAGTGAAGCCACAATGCATTACGTGTAGCTACAATCAAATCGTAGTTTCCTTAGCATTCAAGCTCGTAGGATTACTGTGTGATCTTAAGTAGTCTGGTTGTATGTGATTCATGGCTGTATGTTCATCTCCTGGTGTTCAAACATTGAACCTAACATGTCTGACTTCCGACTAAGTGTTGTTATTGTTATCTAAGTACATGTGGTTTTATATTTGATATGCATAATGACAAGAGAGGCACCTTTTATATACAGTGGTGTGAATAATGGCATTCTTCTTCTCAGGCCTTTCGCTGCCACAAAGGGGTTGCTGCTCTTTCATGGCTGCACACAGCTATTTGGAAAAAGCACACAAAATCATTTGAACAAGAAAGGCAGAACAAAACAGTTGGACATCAGGAAATAAATGAAATGATCTTGCATGCGAAAGGAGAAATCAACAAACACATAAAGTACAATAACTGTCTAAATAAGCAGCAACAACAGGACAAAAAAAAACTCCCAAAGCAGCATCAACTGAGAGCGTCTATGTGAGATTAATCTGCTTTTGTTTTAGTGACTGTTTGAAAGGAATTCTTCCTTTGATGTTTCTTGTTTTGGCGTTCATATTTCAGACAGACAAGCTGCTACAGAAAACAGTTTTCATCATTT